AAAAGACCTGCCCTCAATTTCAAAGAAGAGTAATAAACAGTATCATATCCCAGGGCTTTAATAAAAAGTTCTAGGACAATTTTGGAGAACCAAATACTCATTAAGACCTTTGAAGTAAATGAATCATGATGTGCCATGAGCTTTACAAGTGGTTACACCATACAGATTCTACTAGAAGGAACAAATTAACCTCTGGGTCCTGTGTAATGTACCCTTTGGATCCAAAATTCCCCGGAAAGAAGGGACTGCTTGAGGAAAGTGTTGAATGTTTACATTTGCTTTAAATAAATAAAACTCCAAACCCAAAACCCATGAAGAAACAACACAAAAGGAATTTATGATAGTCCCCAGCTGCTGACAGCTTTGCTTTTTTCAGTGCTTACTTGTACCAGTGAGACTTCTATGTGAGCGGAGTTTGAAGGGTGAGAGTAAAGGATTCAGGTTTTCATTTAATATCCAGGATGTCATTATAAACAGTGAGTCTTCAAAGAGGGAGAAAAAAAAAAGAATCAGCCTTCAACAATACCTCAAGTAAATGCACCAAAACAAGGTCAATGGTCTGGGGCATTTCCAAGTGTATATAGAGGAACACTGCACTTTAGAGACAGAGAGCTGCAGGGACTATTCACACAGATAAACAAAAGGCTGGTAAGACAGTTAATGGCAGCCAAATTATATATATGGGCTTTTTTTTTTTCTCCTGCTTTTCCTTTTCATTTAAAATTGTTTCCTTTTGTTCTGCAGGACAATGAGATGCTTGTGCCCTTTCTCACAGTCCCATTGGTGTAGTCTGGGCAGCTGATACTTATCTGGGATTGTGATTGCACAGTGCTTCATTGTCTCTTGGGTGTTTCAGAAATGCATTAAGGTAAGTCAGCATATTGGGGAAAAGAATGTTCCATGAGAGATAAACCATGCTGTTTCATAGGGGTACATGAATTTGACCATATTGTCCACAAATGAACAGTACAAGTGAATTTATGACTTCAGAGAAAACATAAACATTGAGCTAAGGATGTCTGCAACTGGCATCAGTACAGAGGGAACATGACTTATACTGGACTTCCTCCAGAACTGAGATTATCTCTATACTTTATGTTGTCTTTATGAAAATTGCTGCCAGAATTCATCAATATGCTTTGGGATCACAGATGCTATCATAACAATAAAACAATTAGATAAATAAAAAGATCCCTGAGCTCACAGTCAGCAATGTGCAAAAGATTTTTGCTATGGAAATATTTGGGTGATGTTGACTCATTAGGGCAGCCTCCTCTACAGCAAATAATGAAGACATGAGCTGCAGGACATAACATGAACCTCTGAACCACATGTGAAACTGAACCCCTCAGTTTCTGGTGGAATTAGGATCCAGCTCTGATAATTGAAGCATGATCTATGCAGTCCTTGAATTACTGCCCAGAGAAGAAATCCCACAGGACCAGACATCCGCCAGCTCTGATAATTGAAGCATGATTCAGTCCTTGAATTACTGCCCAGAGAAGAAATCCCACAGGACCAGACATCCACCTGTGTCTGACGGTGATATGGCTACCTGGCTTCTCCAAGGTACCAATTGCTCCTTTGCTTGAGCAGAAGACTGGAACCATTATCTGTGTGCAATGCAGGGCACACTCACACACTGCCTTTGGATGTGGTTACAGTGCACACCTGCCCAACGTATTCAATCAGACCTAGCATGTGTAAAAGGCTCATTGCAAAATGATTGCCCAGGAGGATCCAAACTAGGCTGGGATCCTGACTTGGCAATCTCCACCAGGAGCTGCTGCAGGCAGGCAGGTCAGGTAGGCATGGAGGTGTGGTATCCTCTCAGGCTCGAGTGCTCTACTCTTCTGAACTGGCAAGCTGAGTCCCAGGGAGGTCAGAGCAGAGAGAAGTAATTAAAAAGTGGGAGTTCAGGATTTGGGTGTTCACATAGACAGGGGCTGAGAGGGTGACCAACAACCACAAGAGTTTGCCCTGCTTGCTCTGACGTTTTGAATTCCTTGGCAGCGATGGTGGTTGCACATGGCAAAGGGGCTGCAATGACTCATCTCACAGAAGCTGGCCCAAACAGAGCCTGTACCTGCAGCTTCAAAGTAAGGCCTTCTTTCAAATGATCTCCTTCTAAACCAGATTTTATCAAAGCTGTTTCTCCTTCTAAAATGGGCTTTACAAATGCTGCTTTCCAAGAAACTAGGTTTTCTGAAAAGCGTCTGCTGAGATTTCCATGCAGAAGGCCACAGATGAAGGCATACAGCATTCAGAATGAAGGCACCCAAATTCAAGTAAGGGTTTAGCAAAACTAAATGCCAATGTTAGCATGTCTCTAGCATATGAGGCCTCTTCTTTTTTTTGCTTACAATGCAGCCTCTAAGTTCAAAGTACAAGAGGCATTGCTTCCTGCAAGTGGTTTGTGATAAGGGCATAAATCTATTTAGCCTAAATGACACTGCATTTCTAAACCGCTTAGTGGCAGAAGCCATTTTGTGAGAAAAGAAAAATTTTAGGGAATTGTTACAGAGTTTCCTGGAAGTGTGCTCCCAATCTCATATTCAGGGTCACAGTCGGGCTGCTCTTATCTCAGACCCCATGCCCATGAAGGAAGGAGGCTGTTGTTGAAGCCTCCTCCTCACCTTTCTCCTCCCACACAGAATAGAACCAAGGTCCAGCTCTCCTGCCTCCAAGGTGATTGTATGGCACACCTGATTTCTTCTATTCCCTGACAACTAAACAGATGTGTGTGTCTAGACAGAGCCCAGGGTCCTTCCTCACAAACCATCAATAGATGTGTGCTAAGAGAGAGAGGTGAGGGAAAGCCCCTCTAAGGGCTTCTGATGTCTTTTCCTGATGTCTTTTCACATCAGAAAGGTCTCCTGCTGCTGAGGTTGGTGATGTTCCTCTGAGTGTTCACAGACATCATTGGTGTGGGGTGAGGGAGGTCCTGGGGACACCTCCATGGATACAGTATGGGCATTTGGGACTGCCAAGGTGCCTTGTCAGAGGACCTGTAACTCACCTGCAGCTGCCATGCCAAAAGCATGTCTGAAGACCCCCACAGCTGACAGGTGCATAAAGAGAAGTTAATTTGCTATCAGCTGGACAACAGACTGCTTCCAGGGATGATGCAGTCTACCCTTCCTGCAGATGCTGTTGCTGACTTTGTCTGAGAAAGGTGATACCTGCCACAGCCAGAGGCAGGAGAAAAAGAACTGCCAGCTCTTCCCCTGTATTGTAAAGTGGAAGAAGGGGACTGAAACTTGAGATACAGGAAAGAATTTTAAACCCAGGCCTCCAGCTCTCTGCTAGGAATGACATAGTGTATGAACAGGATCTGAAATATCATTGTTTGCACACTACAGGGAAAACGTCAGTCCAGTGCTTTAGGATTCTCCCTCCTTCTCCAGCCAGTTTCTATCAAAGGCTTGGCAACTGCAGGAACCAGTAGTCTAGAAGATGGCAGATCATTAACCTCCGCTTGGCTTCAAAACCTCACTGTATCAGGGAACAGAGGGATTTTGTTTAAAATGCCTTTAGAACACACGCTGCCATTGAAGGGGGCTGCTCATGTTGGCTCCGTTTTATGCAGATAATTGCATGCTTCCTCCCCTGCTTTACTGATGAGGCTGGTACCACCATGCTGCTGGTCAATGAGGCTAAGTGCCAAGGCAGGATAGCCACCTCCCAGCTATGGTGTGATCCTCCTGGCTGGAGACTCCCTCATATAGAGAATATGTGAATATTCTACTTTTATACTCAGAGGCAACTCTGAGAGCCAGATGCATACAGCCCTGGCTCTTCTGTGAGGAGGCCACATGATTTAGCCCTGCTGTCATGAGCTGTGTGCAGCTTACAGGGCAGAGGAAAGCTAAAATTTCCAGTTATCTTACAACACTTCTCCCTGCATCAAGACTGATGGCTGTCTCGTGCAGGATGAGGAGGTGACAGCAGCTTGTCACAAGACTCATGTATACCATGGCAGCAGTGGCAGAAACAAGGATTTTCTTTCAAAAGTATTTCAAAGAAAGTGTTGCTTCTCCTGCCAGCTTGCAGAATATGGAGCAAGGATGATGTGTGAATCTCAGGAAAGCCAGCTGAGTAACCCCACATCTGCCATCTTCAATGGACTTAAATGAAATGCCTTCTTTTCCCTGGAGTAAATAATAACAAACTATGCAAAAACACCTTTTTGCTGCTGCTGAAAACCTGTTTTCTGGAGTGTAGTACGAATGTCTGTATTTACTTTTCCTCAAACACAAAGAACTTAGAGAAATTTTTGTTATATGCTGCTAATTAATTGCCTGTTAGGAACTTGTCTTGCTCAGGTACCAGGTATCTTGCTTAGCCTGAAGTCTCTGTGCAACACATTGGAAAAGGATATTTGTATTGTCAAACCAGTGCTTTGGCTAAGAGATAGACCACGATTTACCAGTGCTCACAACTAATTAAATTAGCAGATTCACCAATGTGGCCAGCATTGAAAATTGTGCCTGACACATCCTGCCAGATCTATTGCCTGTCGCCAGTTTTCCTGTGTGCATGCTGGTGACCTCTTCATCACCTCTACAGTGGGTCCAAGGTGTACAGAACACATTGAGCTGACTCGGCTGATTCACCAGCCTCTCTCCCCATGTTGTGCAATGCACATTTTCCAGGAAATGGGCATTGCACAACCCTGGCAGTGAGGCTCAGAACGTGGTAAATCCTCACACCCCAAGCAGGAGAGCAATAAACACCCAAAGCAGTCCCTACCTCTAACATGGGTAGAGTTGGTAGGACTGAGCTGGAACTTTAGCTCAAAGAGTGGCTCTTCAGTCTTTTGATGGCAGGAATGAAGAACTGTCTCTGTGACTCATCCAAGAGCTATAACCATCTACTGTGACTCAGCCAGTGGAAACACTCGTGCTGTCTGTTGCTTGGTATTGCCATATACATAATTGTAAGATAACAGCTGTGTTTTGGGGCATTGAAGGGGAAAGTCTGGATACAGAGGCACTCACCATGAAGTGGATGGTCCACTGGGAAACCACATAGCTGATCTTCCTCGTGTTTTCTTTTGCCTTCCAGACGTTCACGTCCCGTGTCCTCACTCAGTAAGGACGCTGGGTTGGCAGTAGGTCTTCTGCAGGGAGTTGCCTGCACTCTCCTTGCTTTGGCCATGGGTGCAGCACACGTGGTGGGAAGAAGCATTTTGGCTGAAGGCAAGTCACAGTCAGACTGACTCTGGCTGCTGGAATCTGTGAAGGACACAGCACAAGACAGCTTTGAATAAAGCAGCCACCATTCAGTGCACCTTCCAGTTTGTACGAAAAAAGTGCTCTGGCTATTGTACCATTCAAACCTGGTCATATTTAAAATGGCCTTAATCCTTCTGTGCTGTACTTCAATGCCAAGATTACCTCATGTTTCAAACACAGCATCTTGGTGAATTTGACCCCCAAATCTTGCCTGTTTTCTGCTTCTTTCCACCTTAAAACTTTCAATGGTCCTTATAAAGAGATTTTTTTAAAAAGGACTGTAAAAAATAAGGAGACATAACCAAAGGTCGAGAAATCTCAGCTTCCCTGTCAGCATCCAAATCAGTGGCTGCCTTTTTGGAAGAACTTGGACGCAAAGTAGATATTGAGCTACTCTGAAAATCTGTCAACAAGATTGCCATGGAATTTGCTGGATGCCAAATGCTTTTAAAAGTCTGGTCCTTTCTTAAATGTCCTTGTAGGTACATCTACCATATAGGAAAATGGGCAAATCAATAGGCTAAAAGTCAGTGTCTTCCCCAATTCAGGTCCCTCTGTCCTCGTTTCTCCATCTGATTTAGGCATTAGACAATTCTAAAGGCAGCCTTTGCCCATGCTGTCAATAGTTCCCCTCTGCCTTTGTGACAAGTGATGCTGGTGATATCTAGAAAGGTAATGACAGCCAACTCATCTTTGTGGAATCACCTGCTTGCTCTTGTTGACAGGACAAACAGGAGAAGCATGTGTTGGCCTATATTCACAAAGTGCAGCTGTAACATTAACTTAGATTTGAGCATGGACATTATAAACAATCTCTACAGTAACCTCAGCAGCAATCAGTGATGTCATGTGCTAGGACACCTGACCCCAGGTGCTGAGGAAATTGGTCCCAGAAGCCACAATCTTTCTTCAGTCATGGTGCTGCCTTATTACTAATATACCACTACCTCAGTGTATAGCAGGGGCACCACAAAGATCTTCCAGATGACTTCTCTCATGAATGTAATATGAGTTCTTACTCCTCCTTATGAACGTAGCAGACCTTGCACAGCCATGCACTGAAATGTAACACGCTGGGAAGCCTCGAGGTTTAGCCCTCATGAATGTAATATGAGTTCCTACTCCTCCTTATGAACGTAGCAGACCTCGCACAGCCATGCACTGAAATGTAACACGCTGGGAAGCCTCGAGGTTTATGCAGTGGGCTGCCTGTGGCTTTTAGCATCCCAAGAGAGTTACACCAAATACCCCACTCTCCACCTCCCTTTTCTATACTACAGCCTTGCCATAAACCCTGATGCTGAGTTTTTGATGTGCTGCCTTTGGTGGCTGCAATCATGGCTCAGTTGACTCTTCAGAGACAAGACATCTGTGTCTGTGCTGCTTTAATGGCAAACCTAGAATTTGCTCTAGCTCTCCTCCCCATCTGGATTTCTTTGCTTGGAAAACCAGAGTAAAAGGCAACACATAAACATAATGTGTCCATTGGGGAATTTAGGTTTCATGGTTTGAATGGCCTGGGAGAAAATATGACAGTACAGGTTTGTCTGCTATTATTGCCAAAGAACATTAAAATCCTAATGTAATAATGGACTGCACTCCGGAGCAGCCTCCCACAAATGGGCTCTGAAGTTTGCTGCACCTGTGGGTGGTCCCCTCTCCCTTCTCATATCTAAATGGCAGCAGGTGTGAGCCACTACAGGCTGTACTCAAAGACTCCATTTTTAAATATACATTTTATGTATATATATGATATATATATATGTTGTCACATCTGGCATTCGCAAAACATATAACTTTTTAGACTTGTTAGAGATTTATTTTCTCAAACCAACAAGTTCTATTTGAAAGCAACTTTGGAGTAATGATAATTATAACATCTGGAGACAAAGTACCCAATTCTGATTCTGCTCTCACTAAGAGCTCACACAATAGGAGTTTTATAGAGGGTTGACACTTACATGAAGAAAATGTCTTTTCAAGACAAAAACTAGCCAAAGCTTAATTTCAATAAAGAATAGTTGTTCAAATGTTATCTATTTAAAATATCTCCAATCTCTGAGTAACCTTCTAAACACAATTACATGTGTACAGTCATGGGGATCTTAAAAACCTGGCCCACCTCTGCATTTGAGGCACATTGTGCAAAATGAGACTAATTTTATTCCTTTAGTATCAACTAACTTTGAGTTTTCTGGTGAGAAGACAGGTGAGGTTTTGAATATTATTTGTGGGATAGAAGAGAAGGATAGACCTGGTAATGGTCACTATCATGAAGCAGGGGTTAAATAACAGATGATCAGAGGATATCAGCACTGGCATAGGTTCTTAGCCCAGGATTTCTATCTTAGTCTCCCATCCCTAAATTACAGACTATTTGCACTCCTTTGCCAGATGTGATGCTGTGAAAAATCATATGCTACAAAAGTGATGATGCTTATATCCTACAGTAATGAAAAATGTTAGGGTAATATAAAGCACCTAAGCAAGGTGCTCTTATGGGGAGTGATTAAAGCTTTCTAAGAATGACATTGGCATTTCCTAAATTATGGAAGACTTTTTATATATCTTTATTCTTTATATACAACTTTCCTCCCTGGTATTTTTCCTGAGATGCTCACATACCCCAGTGATGAGCACAAGCTATGTATAAGCACGGACAGAGCAATTACAGACTGAAGTAGAAAGAACAAGGAGGAAATGGAAGACAGTCCCAGGCAGATCAGAAAATCCCAATGTCTCCGTGAACTGGTGAAAAGGAGTGGGAGGATCTGTTGTTTGATATCAAAGAAGTATGAATCTCAAAGTAGGAACCTCTGGATTAATCAAGCAATTTTTCTGGAGGATAAGATGGAAGGCAGATAATACGGAGTTTACAGCACATAGATGAGAATTAGGAGCCCCAACCCTATTTGTATTGCAGCCTTCTCTGGTGTTTGTTGTTCTGACCAAGTAAAAAGCCTGCCTGAAGTGGCTGCTCTTTAGGTCAGCTTGAATTTTTTTTGGTACACATTCATGTGACTCCAGCAGGAAGCTCTGAAAAACAACTGTAAACTGGCATGGGGCAAAACTTCTTCCAGAGAATGTAGTTTTCTTTCTTTTTTTTTTTTCCCCAAAGAAGACAATGACATTTCAGCCCAGCATAACATGAGATACTTGTTACTGTCATGCACAGAAATTACTTTGACTTGTGGCTCAAAATGATTTTTTTGTCTTGACTTTCAGTTGCATAGGAAAGGATGGACAATTTCAGGCAAGATAGTAGGGTTTCACTTTGAAAGCAGAGGTTATTTCAGATGACCTAAGTTCCATTTAAGCCTTGTGTAATCACTGGAGAGAGACAGACCTGAGGAGGCAAAAGGTTTATGATTTTAGGGTCTTACTAAGGCTGTGAACAGGGAAGAATCTATCACTGAGAAATGGAAGCATATTTGTATTGGGTGTTGTTTTTTTTTCTATTTCTTCTACATATTTTTCTTCTTTCTTATTTTTTTGCTTTCCAGGTTTACTGGTTTTCCTTGCAGTAGGTGGGGTGAATTGGTCTGATTGGCCAGATGGTATCTGTTGAGTTAGATTCCTTCATTTTGTTTCCTCTTTAGTGATAAAGATGGGTGGAGTGTTGCTAAAGGTGAACAATCACCATATTGACATTTGTGTGTGAAGTGGTGGTTGTATTCCTATTAATTTGCATATCCTTAATATGATGGAGCATAACACAGGTAGAATGAGGAAATTACCATATCTGTTACTGCTTTCACTATTAATTTCCCAGGTGTAACACTCTCATCCCAAGCTTTCCCTGACTTGATAAAGGATCTCCTGTTGGTAAAACCTCACTGGCAGAAACCGGGGGAGTAATGAACAATCAGTTCAGATGTAATTTCAAGTACATTAAAATCAGGTTCCCAGGAACTTCAGAACAACTTTTTTCTTTTTCTTTTTTTCTGAAATAGGCCTGATATTCTTCTGTATTTTGAATGAAAAAGTTGGCACAAAGGAGGAGATCAGCACTCACTGGGTGCTTAATTGTATTCCTTGCAAAGGCCATGGTTACCCTTTCTAAGCATTGTGACAAAAGGTTGAGAGGAAAAGCACAGACTGCATACTAAAATGTCTTCTTGTCCATAGTTTTTTTTAAAAATTTGCTAAGAGTCTTTCAATGATTTCAACAGCTTCAATAACTGCAGCTCCAGGTCCTCTTGCTGTTGTGTTTCTGCAATGAACTCCCCTATGACTAGCACTGCAACTGAAAAGCCAAATGCTTCAGAGAACATTGCACACTCCTTATTCCAAATCCCACTGGAACCACACTCATAAAAACATATGAACTTAGGAGTCAGGCCCAGAGATCCTCCCATACAGGATCAAGCCCCACCATTCTGTGAGACGCTTGCACTGTACATCACAACATCCTTTTTGTCAGAGACTCAAAATAATTTGTTAGAAGAAACTTCTAGAAGTCATCTGATCCAGAACCCATGGGTTTTCTTGGGAAACTTGGTTTACACCCCTCATTTAGAATCCTAGGTTGGAAAAGACCTTTAAAATCATCGAGTCCAAACATTAGACCACCAAGTCAAGCCATTTCTGACATCCTGCATCTTCTGCTTCCCTGGTCCTACCCATCTCCTCAGCTCATAAGGACTAGATTTAGACTCCAGAACAAGTGTGATCTTGGTTCTGAGGCTGCCTACATCAGATGGTAATTTCTGTCCTCAGTATTTACCTTACAGTAGCCTATGTGGGTCTTCCTGTCTCATATGAATCATAGCTTTGCTCAGATAAATACCATAGAGGATTGTGGGGAATGTTCTTAAAATCCTTAGTAAGATATAACTAACCCCTGACCTGTAGTACTTCCTTCTTTGCTGCTGCTGAACTCTTAAGAGAAAGCAGCTGGATTTGTGTCCCATCCTGGAATTTCCAGCAAGTTCCCTAGCTCATTTCAGTTCCCTGACCTTGGCCAGCACTGAGCCATACGAGATGTGGCTGATTATTTGCATAATTTTTTAATGACAGTGTTATATGGCGTGAAGCTGAATGACTTAGCTGGAATACAACAATTATCCCAAGACGTACAGCACTTCTGAAATAAATATAACTTATCTGAATAAATCACAGTTCTGCTCAGAAAGCAAAGGGTAATAAATTTAGGGACCACATTCTTAGGTAAGAAACAAATAGTGAAAAAGTTTTGATTTTATTTTTTTAAACTTCCTTGATCAATTGCAAGTACAAAGTACAACATTTTGGACTATTTCTGCAGCTTTCCTGTTTTTCCACATCCAGTAACAATTAAGTGAATCTTCACATGTATATACTGTTTTCATTAGTTAATATTCCACATTGCCTTAAGTTTATTAATCCAGCCTTGCTTTTTAGCAGGGGAGAGGAGCCACTATGCTCTCCTGCTACAGCTACAGTCTCTCTCTGGTGTGAAGGTGGTGAAGAAAAGCGAAAGGCAAGGCCTGGTGGTTCTGCCTGCATTGCTTTTGAGATGAAAAACTCACTGTATGCTCAGGTGGACCCTTGTGCTTGCACTTAGCTAAGACACACAGTAAAACTGGGCTTCAACATACTGATTGTGAAAAAGACTTAATGTAAAAAGGTCCTGTCTCCGTTCCCAGAGAACACTCATGTTGCTGAAATGCAGCTCTGTTGCCCACATTGTGAACAAGCACCGACTGAATTTTCAGTGGTGTTATTTGTCTCACTTTGGATCCAGTGGCACAAAGTGACTGCCACAGGCCCTCAGGAAAGGACTTTCAGCTCACAAAACCACACTGCCAGAGCTCACAGCAGCAATTCTCCCCTTTCACAACCTTCGGCACCAGCACCAGCCACGTCCTTGTTCACCTCTACAAACTACCAAGTTCTTGCTTCTCTCAGGACTGGTTGTCCAGTTCCAGTTGGCAAAAGCAGCTTAAGGAAACCTCCAAATGCTCCAGTCCTCCAATAGTACCAGTGGCAAAACAGGCAAGCAACACTTGCCAAAGCCTTCGGCAACCTCATTTTATCTTTGGAACAGCTTTTTCTTTGAACAGATGACCTGGAGAGGTCCCCCCAAACCCCAGTTAGCCTATGGTTCTGGGAAAAAAACCAGCAGAATGCTGTCTGTCTTTCCCAAACACAAGTTTCCATGGAAAGCTACAGTTGTTGGCATGAAGGCAGCAGTGGTATGTTCAACCCCAATGCTGTGAGGTGAGTGGTGGGCTGGCTGCCACGCAGTGAGGAGACGAGTTATCCTTTGTCACAGATGAACAAAAATAAGTCCAAATCTTGCACAAAGCATGACTAAGACTCAGTGTTAGGGTGCTTGAGTCCAACCCCAGTAACCAATGTTACAGCAGTGAGTAGTTTCCCTTACCATTAGGTCTTTTTGCTTTCCAGTCCAGGTCGGTATCCACTTTGGACATAAAAAGAGATGAAATTATGCGAATATGCAAATAGGCAATGGTTTCTTGGACTGGCAGGCTTTTGGAAAAAGACTCTCTCCCTTGCTAATGGGTGGCTCATCCAGTGTCCTGGGAAATGGGGTCCTGATCCATGAAAGTATCTCTCTATATTACAAAAACTAAAGTGTAGCATTAAGCTTTATTGAAAGCAGTTGAGTGAGAGGTGAGTGAAAATTTTGTGCCAAAAGTCCAGGTCATTTTTGTTTAAATGGATCTCCTTGTATACATGTCTGTTTCTTATGGAAAAAGCAGATCCAAAAAGACGAAAAATACTTAATCCAGAAAATGGTGGATGTTGTTCTTCATTTAAGGAAAGAAGGAGACAATTTCTGTGGGGTAAAAGTTCACTCAAGGCCAGAATAACTAAACTGTGAAAACTGAAGTCAAAAAGTCTAATGCACTTGCTGGTTTGCTAAGATCAAAGTCAAGCAAGTTTTCTACTAGCTGTTTTTATTTAGTTCATGAAAGAACCTAGTGTCCATGATGATTAAAAAAAAAATTATTAAACATATATGCTTTCTCTCTTCTTATTCCAGCAATTGGGTTCTAACACTCCCGGTAGCTACGATTACCCTTACAGATCGTTTCTCCTGCTTGAGGGTGAGTGGTCAAATTTATTTTAAAAGTATGCTGATGTAAGATTTGGCTGTAATTCCAGACAACAGTCAACTTCTGGTATAAGTGAAACTCCAAAAATTTTGTTAAGCTGCAGCAGTCTTAGGCTCACTTTCTGAGTCTGAATACCTGGCCTTACGGCACACATTTCTTTGTCTTTCCCTCCCCCCTACCAGATAACAAGAGTATTGTTTTTTAAAAGGAAAGATGCTGTATTTTTTATACTATATAAGCATTCCTCACTGGAGAGAGCTACCTGAAATAACTTGTCAGGTTGCATACTCACCTCTCCAATGACATCGAAGCTTTGCAATGTACCAAACCCCAGAGTCCAATCTATTGCGAGGTTGAAAGCAAATTATTTTCAAAATATTATTTCTGCATGTATAATGAATGATTTGTACCCAATAAGGGGAATCCCAAATTCCTATAAAAGTTAAAGAATTAAAATTCTAGATGACAGCATTTGGGATCAAAAAGCAAGGAGCATTTTGATTAAGTTGTGTGACTGGTACTTACCAAAGGCCACCGGTGACCCTGCTTTTAGGGACGGAGGTCTCTCAGCGTAGCTACCTCTGTTCCTGCTTTGGCTGCTCGGGACAGTGCTGGCAGAAGGTTTCTTTAAGATTTCCTCAATGGAAAAGGACAGGCTGGGCTTCCTCTGTGCGGCACACGCCCGGGGGTCCGTCATGTTCCTGCGCAGGTGGCCGTGGGACGCGGAGCGCTGTCGCGCAGCATGCCCGGGGACACGCGGCTGGGATGGCCCGGCTCCCTCCCCACCCATGCCCGCTGGCCGGGCAGCGCTGGCAGCGGAACAGGGCTCAGCACGGCTGAGCACAGCCCAGCCCAGCACGGCCCAGCACGGCTCAGCACAGCCCAGCACAGCTCCTCGCTGCTGATGGCCCTGGGACCGGCACCTGCGCTCCCTGCCCCTGGGGAAGGCTCTGTTGGAAGTGGGGGTTAAAAGTCTCACCAACCCCACCCACTGCGAAGCATTCCCCCTGGCTCTCGTGTTTGCGGAGCTCTGAACAATCGCACGGCTATTCCAGGAGGAGGTGTGCTCCTTGCAGAACCAGGAGAAAAATGTCCTGGGAAGGGTTGCCTCTTGTTGGTGAATCCTGTTTGTGGGGTAGTTATCTTCCTTTTCTGCTTTCAGGCTGAAACCTGCAAAAAGCCCACTGGATTTCTTAATGGACTTAAGAAAATAATTGGCAGGACAAATAATTGACCCTCGGGCCATTTACTATCAAGAGAGACAACCTGTAAACTTCTCTTGCATACAAGGAGGTGTCACATATGAAAAGCTCCCTCCCCAGCAGTTCCCAGGTTTTCCTTCAGCCATCCCTCCTAGCCATCAGCTTTGGTTCAGATTCGCTTTTCTTCTATTGTGAAAACCCTTTGAACTTTCCAAGCAGGTGCTTTTCAACATCATTCCACCTTATCAGTCGCAAGAGAAAAAGAGATGGCCCTTGCAACACGTGTAGGAATAGGAATTAGTGCCTTCTAACCCCCACCTATACTTGTAAAGAGAAAACATTATTTTCTTTTCATCCTGAGCTATGAGGCAAGCTAGCTTGATAATCATCCTACCAGTTGCTTAAGCCTCCCAATTAGGCATCCAGCACAGCGGGAGATTTCCCGGTTAATGAGGGTGAATACCTGTGATTCCTCTCCTGAGCCACTTCTATCTTCTTGTTAATTTTTATTTTGGGAAGAATGTGGTTAGATACACTCCTGTTCCTTCTCTCTCCCTCCCCCCAGGGGCATTTCTTGCCTTCTTCTGGGATTGCCCCTCACCTTTAAAATTGCTATGGTCGTTTCTCCCTTTCCTGCTGGTTCTTCTCCGTGCCTTCCTTATCAGGCTCTTATAATTGTATTGGCAGTCCCTGCCTTATTTGTCCAGCGAACTGACAATTCTTGAGCTGATATCCCATCATATGACCTTTTCATGGAGTGGAGACCAAAATTACTGTGTAACCAGGGGGCAATAAACCACACCTGATAAGATGAAAGGCTTTCGGCTTTTTCCAGATTCTAGATACTGGAAAAACGGTGGGGGCTGACGAGGAAAAGAACAATGGAAGAGGTTCAAAATGATGCAGCCAGTTGTGATGAAGAACATTTAATTATCTGATTTTATGAATCAAACTTCTCCCCGGGCAACAGGATAGACCAGTGAGCGTCTTTTACACTGACAACACATGTGGCGGAGAGTGGGAAGTGTTTTCGTTTGTTCCCTTCTCATCCCTCTGCTGTTTCTATAAAGGAGGATCTTGTGCCTTCCTGGTTGTATGATGAGGTGGCAGCTGTTGTGTGGGTGAAACAGTTCTTGTGGCCTCCTCCCTTAAGCAGGGAACATCTTCCCGTTTCAATCCCTGCACTGGAGGAATGTCTCTCTAGCCAAGCTTTGTCCTCTCCAGCTTTGCTGCCAGAGTCTGTAATCCCAGCTGGGCACACAAAGAGGGATGTGTCCCCCTTCTTTCTTAGGCAGAATGAGAGAGTTGGTAATTTATGGGCTGAGAACAGGTGAGCATGCTGTCTGTATGAAGAGAGAAAGGAAAGAAAGGTGCTCTGAGTCCAGATCTTGGATTAAAACTGCATATTTAATAAGAGGGTTTCCCTTTTCCCTTTGTGACTCCTGATTCAAAACCCATGAAAAAGCACAAGGAGAAACCTAGCACATTCTTTTACAGACACCGTATTTTCCCTACTCTGTTTGCCTGAGGCACTAAAAAGGGAGCCACTTTCTCCCTTAAGCAGGGAACATCTTCCCGTTTCAATCCCTGCACTGGAGGAATGTCTCTCTAGCCAAGCTTTGTCCTCTCCAGCTTTGCTGCCAGAGTCTGTAATCCCAGCTGGGCACACAAAGAGGGATGTGTCCCCCTTCTTTCTTAGGCAGAATGAGAGAGTTGGTAATTTGTGGGCTGAGAACAGGTGAGCATGCTGTCTGTATGAAGAGAGAAAGGAAAGAAAGGTGCTCTGAATCCATATCTTGGATTAAAACTCCATATTTAATAAGAGGGTTTCCCTTGTCCTCTTGTGATTCCTGATTCAAAACCCATGAAAAAGCACAAGGAGAAACCTAGCACATTCTTTTACAGACACCGTATTTTCCCTACTCTGTTTGCCTGAGGCACTAAAAAGGGAGCCACTTTTCTTGCTTTCTGGCTTCCTATGCAGAAATGGCTTCAAATCTTCCCAGATGCCTCAAGTTGAGAGTCCTTGAGCCAGCGTTCACTGTATTAACTTAGTATATATTACATTGTCTGAACTCTCTGATGTTTACTGTTTACTGTGTTTATCTGTAAGTTTCAGGCACAGGAAAATCAGATCTAGGGACGTCTGTGTTTTAAGCCTTCCCTGCTGTCCATTTTTCTAAAGGATCTATGTAGTTGCAGGAGTGAAGCCTATGGATTTGTCTGCTTCAATTATTAAATGAAGCAAGGCCACATTTTCCTTTGCAATGGAAAACTTTAGCTTTGGTTTGTTATTAAAACCTAGGTGTTCAAGGAGTTAATATCTTGCTGCAGGGGCAGGAGGAGGAAGAGGAGGATTTCACAGGGAAGTCTGATATATCCCAGTACTCCTCACGAGAGGACCCATATCTTTGGGTAAAGTAGGCAAGTCAATTAGCCTAGACACTCTCAGGGCAAAAAATATACCTTCTATCTCCCTCTTCCCTGCCCCAGCTCCATTTTTGCTGTGTTAAACACACACAGTTTTGAAAGGGAGAAACGTAGCCTTCATGTGCATTCATCTTAAAAAATTTCTGAAGTAAAGACAGTTGAGACAGGTAGACTCTAAGTTTGCATCTCAGAATAGAGTAAATACTTTTATTCTATAGTCACGAGTAAATTCAGCATTACTCCATACTCAGAGTGCCTGCACTGCCTGTCTCCACTGCCACCAGCTCACTCTGTGCAGGCACCTGCTGAGATGATTCTGTAGTCCCATGTCACAAAATCAAATTGTGCATGTTTGTATAACTAGTCTGTCTCAGTCTGCAACTTTAAACCTCCCTGCTGCTTGCAGTGACAAGTTGATTTTCTGTGTGTGCTTAAATTAGATGCTCACATGCAAATTTACAACTTGAAAGTGTCCTTGTGAAGGCTTTATTTTTGTTCTGTCTGATTGTATTGTACTTTTTTATTGAAACTGAAGGCAATGTCAGCTGAGAAATATATTTTTGTTCTTCTGTATTTGAAAACAAAACAAGCACTAAAGTAGGAAATAGGATAAATAAGTGACAACTCTTGAAAGGGGATTAGAAAGCAGCAGTGTAATGATGCATAAATCCCATGTTTTGCGTACAAAAGTTTCTTCAGAAAATAAAAAGGCAGGTTTGGTATCAAAATGTTTAAGTAGTACCAAAAGACTTGAACATTTTACTATTTTTAATACAAAAGTGGAAAAATAGTGATAAATAAAAATTCATTAATTTAAAAAAAAGATTAAATACTGTCTTTGGAATGACTGCTCGCCCAGAATTTCCTTGCTCTGTATTATGTTAAAATAAAGATGAGTGGCAAAAAATAGACCCTTGAAATGCAAATGAACATTTTGCAAATTAAAATAGTTCAGTTGACCCCCTTTCTCAAATGACTGAGTTGCTGAAATGTAACAAATTATTTAAGTTCAAAACAAGAAATTATTTACTTTTAAATTACCGGAGAATGAAGAAGTTATTTTTCTGCCAAGTTCTAATATGCTGCCTTTTCCAGGGTAGTTTGGGGATATTTTTATATTTATGCTTGACCTGGAAATGCAGATGACTCTCATTTGTTACAATTATTGTGCTACCCATCTAATTTAGTCTATAAATTCCTTGAGGCAGGAAACACATCTTCCTCTGGGATTGCTGAGCTCTGAAGGAAACCCTTTACAGCAGAAGGCGGCTGTCTAGAACAAAATTGTGCCGTGTTGATTTTCTCAGCTCATCCTCTCAGTGCCAGGCAAATCTAGAGGTCCACACAGCCCCTGAGGTTTATAAACTAAAGAATTTCAGAAAGTGAAAAATTCTGGATGCATAGACTTAAAATCAACTTGGGATCAATACTTTGGAATTTTTTGTCCTATGCTGGCTATCTCAAGGAGGAAGAAGAATTGTGTTTACCCTGTCAGTCACGAAACAGGATCATTCCTGACCTACTGGTCTCTTCCACTGGATAAAGGCAATAATGGGATGATATTCCTCCCAATGCCTCGGAAGCACCTCCTTGAATCTCTGCTCACAAATGTCACTCATAGCCAGAGCTGTCTGGTGTTTATGCACGGCGCGGATGCTGCAGCTCGCAGCAGCTCATCTCCCAGGGCCTGTGCTCAGCCAGCTGCTCAGAGGAAGCCAGCGAGCTCAGGCAGCCAGAGACACACCGGTGCACCTGCAGCTGCAAATTGCCCACCCCACCTCTGGGGCCTCATGTCCTTGCAGGTTGTCTTCCATCCTTTATGCCTTACTGCACTCTACCAATCTCCCCAGTGACATCTGAGCTGCTCTGATCGCCTCAAAGTTCAACAGCTGGAGGTGATCTAGCGTAAAGCTCACACAGCCTGCTTCTGGAGCCCCTTTCACCCCAGATTTATCAGCCCTGTGGTCTCTGTAGATTCCTCACAATTCTCGTAAATTAGAAATATTAATAAAAGGGACACTGTAGGTTTAAACAGATAACATTTATGATCTTTTTTATGGCACAGTTATTATCAATTGACATTTAAAATAGCATCATAATCTATCAAGGTGAAATGGATTCAGAAA